TTATTATTTTTATAAAAAATTATATTATTAAACCAAAAATAAATATACTTTGTTATTAAATATAAATTAAATTATAATAACCAAAAAACGAGAAATATTAAATAGTTAATTTGATATTAATATCGATTTTATTTTTTTCAAAGTTTTATGTTATGTTGAAACTTATATTTCATTCAAAAATAAAACATTATCGCTATCTTAAAACCACGTAAAATCGTGTTATATTGATAAAGACAAAAAAATAAGAAATAAATATTAAAATAAAGATTTATCTCGTTGTATTATGCAAGTACCCTTCTAATACATCAAATAAACAATACTTCATATATAAAAAATCGTTTTTAAAAATTTTTGTCAAATACTTTATAATATATTACAAATAAAAAGCAGCAGACGGCCGTGATCCCCCATTCTCGATGGGAACGGAGCCAATTGTTTGTCTACGATTGCTTGCTCTCCGCGGTGTATTCACCAAAGTCGGCATCTATAAGAACAAMCCACCCACTTCACGTGCTCTTCTCAATCAAGGTTAAAAATGGCCGCTAAACAAGGAGAAAAACAAGTCCAAGAAGATGGGAAAACCCCCCTTCTCACCCCCTRCAAAATGGGAAATTTTGAACTTTCTCACAGGTTGTAATACTCTTTGATCTTCTCACATTTGTCTATTTTCTCTTTTTGGATGCTTTCTACTGTTTTAGTTTATGGGTTTGATTTCATTTACAGCCATATGCTCATGATCTGTTTGATAAAAAGCCAAACAGGGTTTGCATCTTTTTGACTTTTTTTTAKTTGGAAAGAAAGATTCTGTTCATTTTCACCAAATTTAGGTTATCTAGTTATAGTTTTCAAACCTAATTCTTTCCCTTTCTAGCAAGTAGGATTTAGCTYGCTTGATTTCAGATATTGCCTTTTATTTTCCATGAAAAGATCTTGATKCTTTTGAAATACCTATGGAAAACCCCATTTGGTTTTGTAGTCATTGATAGTGTTAATTTATTGAATTTATGTTCTGAATTCATAAGGTTTTCACTAATTTGTTTAATGTGTACAGAGTTGTTTTGGCACCTCTAACAAGGCAAAGATCATGGGGCAATGTCCCTCAACCRCATGCTATCTTATATTATTCACAAAGAACAACCAAAGGAGGCCTTCTTATTGCAGAAGCCACTKGTGTTTCAGATACTGCCCAAGGGTATGCAGATTAATTTATGACTCATCTCCATGAAAATTTACAACTTTCCCTGTTGCCAAATTTCAAAACCCATCATTGTTACTTGTTATGCCATTGATTTTGATTCACAAGATTTCCTTATTTTGTTGGTTTCTTGTTTGAAGGTATCCCGACACGCCAGGCATATGGACAAAGGAACAAGTCATGGCATGGAAACCGATTGTGGATGCGGTTCATGCAAAAGGTGGGATCTTTTTCTGTCAAATTTGGCATGCTGGAAGGGTTTCAAATACCGGTATATCTATACTCTTAACTTGTTCATTATTTCATGTCATTTGTATCTTGAGAATGTTAAAWAATGTAACATAATCATTTCTTCATCTGTTGAACAGGTTTTCAACCAAACGGGCAAGCCCCGATATCTTCCTCAGACAAAGGATTAACACCTAAATTAAGAAGCAATGGCATTGATGTTGCAGAATTTTCAACTCCAAGGAAACTAACAACAGAGGAGATTCCTCTTGTTGTTAATGATTTTAGACTTGCTGCAAGAAATGCAATTGAAGCTGGTAAGACTTATTGATTCTTTTTCTTCTTATCTTTTTAATGATTGAGAACTTTCCATAAATGGAAATGTTGCCATATTTATAGCATTGAGGGAGTACTTTGATGTTAATGACACTAATAAAGTGGCATTATAGAAAACTTGGATAACTGATTTTCACCAAATATGGATCATATAGGTTTTGATGGAGTTGAGATCCATGGCGCTCATGGTTATTTAATCGATCA